TTTTTTTTTTTTTTTTTTTTTCCTTATATATAACTAGAAAAGTGCTATTTACGCTCCACTCTGGTGGTACTTCATCAGTGAATAGAGGAAGAAAGGTACAAAATGGAGCGAAGTTAGCACTGTTCTTACAAAAGGTTTAAAAAAAGGATAAAAAATTATAAAAGAAAGGCCCTGAAAAGGAGGTTCCTAGGTTAAAAGCTACCATGTTCTACTTGCAGCAGAGAATGCAGAACTGGCAACAGGGTAGTCTAATACTCTATCCCCTTCTTACGGTGGGGTTGTTGCTGTCATGGAGAAAATCAAGCAAAACGGTGCTTTTGCATTTGGGGCATTTGGGATCATTCTCAGAGAGCATCACATACATAAGGCAACGAGGGCACCCTACTAAAACCATGGAAGTGGCTTCAGGGCTGTTGGAGTATCCAAGGTGGTTGTTGTTATTGTTATTATTGTTGTCCTCCTGGTTGAGCTCAGTCGACACACATGAGCTTGGTGGGGAGGTTGGTGACACCGTTGCTGATCGCGTTGGTGATTCAAGTCTACGGTCAACAATCCTTGGTGGGGATAGGTTCAACTTCAAGTCAAGTTTTGGACCGCTTCCATTTCTGCCACTCATGGTTTTGCCTCTTCTTTTTGCAAAAGTATGTTACCTGTTTTGACTCAAACCGTTAGCCACACAAAATAAAATAAAAGAAACACAAAAGAAGTCCAATTAAGAAAATAGAAAAATTGTTAGAAGAGGTGTTCATAGACAGATAGAGAAAATATATGATATGGGAAGAAACAAAAGAAGAGCAAGGTGAGGAGTTATGAGTACCTTTGGAAAGAGCAAGTTGTATGGCCAAAGGAGAAAAGGGTTGGTGAGTGGTTCAGAGGAGAATGGCAGAAGCTCCGGCACCAGCCAAGTGACCTTCTGTGTTGGGGGGTTGGAGCTTAGAGGCCATTTTATATGAGGAAAATGGAGGGGGTGGTTTAAAGCATAATTAAATTGAGGGAGAGAGGTGGAGGAGGGAATGGAGTGAAGTGAGAGGAGAGAGAGAGAAAGTGATGGAAGTGAATTGAATTGAATTGAATTGTTGGGTAGAAGAAGAGTGTAAATTGTGGACAGGAAATGTATTAATTGTTTGGAAAAATCCCAAGAAGTATGCAGAAAGGGGAAATTTGCAGTAAATATTGCAATTACAAAGTGCAGGGTGAGGGCCTTTCTTCATTCATTGCTTATATGAGAGTCGGTGTTTAAGAGTCTCAGAGCAACACAGCACGGGAGATCACACAATGGCTTTTAAGGCTAAACCCATATTTAAAATATAAAATCCAACCACACCAACAGAATTTAATAGGAAGCACCAAATATTGATTTAACTAGCAGCAATGGATAGCCAAGTGCAACCTCAAATTTAAATATTCAACAGCACCCCCTAGAAAAATGAAACAAACTAAATGAAATAGTACAATAGGGTATAAATTTGATACAAATTTTTAGATAGACACAATTTTAATAATACACTACTTGTCTCCGGTTTGATCTTCTTCTCTTACATTGCTGGTAGAAGCACCCTTTGACTGTCAAAGGGAAATAGAAAAGAGACTTGGTCTGGCTTCTTTTACCATTGTGGCTAGATCTAACTAAGCATGTAGTTTTGTGAATGGATTTTTCATGGTCTGAGAGTCCCTGTTGTTCTTTTGAGGAATTAGTTCTCAGTTTCTTTGAGAAGTACAAGACATGTGTTCATCGTCCGACAGACATTAAAGGATCTCTCTGTGTTTTATCATGGGGACCAATACAACCAAACAATGAATGCTTTTTTTATTTTTAAATTTTATTCATGATTTGTTAATGCAGCAAGCAAGAACATGCTGTCATGGTGCCGTGGAGCATTTACTAGAGTCGAACTTCAATTATCCACATTATAGCTGCTTTTGCTTTGTTAAAAAACGAGACTTTCGGATGGTTCCTTTCAATGCAAGATGGATGAAAGCGTGAAATTTATTAATTGATTAAACAAAACAAAAAAATTGCGGATGCTATTGAATTTATTTATTTTTATCCATTTTTATAGTTGATGCATAAATAATATTAATCTCTTTTATATTTAATATTTAATTTTGTTTACACACTCAAAACTATAAGAAATAGACCCAAAAAAAAATGAAAGGTAAAAATAATATCCTTATATATAAAAGTATGAATATCTATGCTAAAAATGTTCTCCAAAATATTTTTAGAATATAATTGTCAAATTATTTTTAAATTAAATATAATTGTCAAATAACAAAATTTATAACTATGAATTAATTATTTGATATTATTATATGACATAATTTATTTAAGAAATATATGTATGTGTCTACGGATATGTGATGAAATAGAAATAAGAGGATTTAAGTTTGATTTTCGTCAGATCCCTATAATATTTCTTTGTGAATAAAAAGAAATATATGTGTTTGTGATTTAAATCTTTTTAAATGCTAATAAATATTCTTACCGCATTAGTGAATAAAATATTCTTAATGAATATTATAAATGCTAATAAAGTTTTTTAAATATGCTTAGAATATTAGTGAAAAAAATATTCTTAATAGATATTATAAATGCTAATAAAATATTTTAAATATTCTTGCCATAGTAGTAGAAATAAAAATATTTTCCTGATAAAAAAGTGTTGTAATTGGATGAGAAATGAAAAATAATTTAAATTGTATATTTATTTTTTAATAAGATAACATAATTTATTTTTAAAGAAAATAAATTGGCAGCTTTGTACATGGCGGGAACGGATCGTTTCCAATTAGAGGAAATCGAAGAGTGTCTAATTCAAATAAATTAAACTATTAATTAAAATGAACAATGCATTTCTTGTCACGTGTTTTCTTTTTCTTCTTTCTTCACACTTCCTTCAGATGGCCCTCGACAATTTTACATCTTAATCTTAATTTCATGCTAATAAAGTATTTTAAATATTCTTACCACATTATGTATGGATTTCCCCACAAAATGACGTTTCTTGTGTTGTCTACGGGATTTGGTAGGATTTTTAAGAACATATTATAGAAGAATTTAGAATTGTTATGCTATTTATCTGCAAAGAATGTTAATCTGTATGCTTAAAAAAATAAATTATGATGAATTCGTCAAAATATTTGTTTTATTAAAAAATATTTTTTATTTAATATTTTTAATAATTGAAATTATTTAATAAATGTTTTTAAAATATCCGTTCATAAAATCTTTTACTTATTAATTTTATATTATCTTTACATTTAATAAAAGTTAATAAGTAAATAACGTTGTTATCTTTATAATTTGATTATTATTATTATTATTATGAAATTGCTATATCTATCTTTTAATCTTGTAAAACTCCTAGACCAATTATATTAAAATATATAAGTTATTTTATATTTATTTTAAAGTTAATAATATTTAATAAAATATATTAAATACTCTTTAATTATTATTCTAGCACGGAAGTTTAAAAGACTAAATTTCTATGTCTCATGAGGTTAAAATGACTTTTTGAAGAGAGGAAAAAATGATATATTTTTTTTAAAGTTAAAAAATGATAAATTAAGACTGGTTTTGAAAGTGTGAAGAACATAAAAGTAGAAAAAATATGAAGAATGAAACAATAATATCACATGTGGCAAGATCTGTATAATTCATTTTAATGAATGGTCCACATTTATTAAATTGGATACTCTCTTTTTCTCCAATTGGAGAGAATTTATTTCTCTCAATATATATGTGTTGTATATTATGATGATGAATATTTTGTAAATTGATCAAGTTGATTCAATTGAATGTTGTGTGTTAAAGATTCATTCATCTAAACTCCTTGTTTTCAAAGTGAAATATTGCACTAAAGGAGAATAAAGTTGTTTTAATATTGTAAAAATATCCTTATGTGGATTTAAAGTTGTAGTGCTTTGAGGAGTTCAATGTTAAAAACCCTTCAATATAAAAGTTTCCTTCTAAAAGGAAGTTGTTTTTATAAAGTTTCTTCTAGATTTTTGTTGAAAATAGTATAGGGACAAAATTGAACCATACTTGTCATAAACGACCATGGAGTAAGGCACAAAGTTAAAGGTAAAATCCCTAATCAAGTATGCTAATGTCAAAGTAGGCTCATACTCAAGTTGTGCTACACTTGACGATAATACTGGACCATCTTGTTTTAGTGACAATATTTTAGAAGCCAAACGTTGTAAAGTTGATTCATGGTCCAAGTGACTCGTCATTACTTCCTGGTGCATAGTGACCTGTGTTGTATAGATTATTTGGTACGGTTAAACCATTTAAATTGCTCAAATAATGTAGATCTCCAAAATAGAATATGCGTGACGACAAATTATGTTGTTATAAGTTGTATAAATTGTAAATTGTTCATGTATAAATTGTAATGTTGCTAAAGTTGAAAAGATGTGTGAAGATGAAAGTTATATATAGGCTAAGTTATTTATAATGATTGATGATGTTGTTGATAACATCTTTAGTATATGTTGATTTAAGTTGTGAAAATTGTATGTGTTGCTATGAGAAATGGGTTCATTGTATACAATTATACCTTCATATGTTGTTTCCTTCTATACAATTATACCTTTATGTCTCTATATGTTGGACTACAATGACCATACTTGATACAAAAGTAGGTTAGAAATAGATTGGAGGGCTACTTGGTGGTTGTGGTGGCCATTTCTTTTGGATGGTTCATGATCATAAGTTATTTTGATGCAACTATATTAAAGTTGTATATATTTCATATATTTAGGGATGTTGTAAACCCATAAGGGGGATTTATGTTTTCAAGATAATGTTCAAGGAGCTATTGTTTTATGTTTCCCTGTATCCCTTATATATTTGGTATGTGCAGGTATATCTAAGTTTTGTTGCATGAGAATCCTAGGTAGACAACGTTATGTTTTATGTTGTGTTGCTTTTAAGTTTATACCTTTGTGGTGACCTATCAGATTGTTATAATTGTGGACAAGAAGCTTTGCCTTCTTAACATCCATTCTCAACATCATACAATATGCACCAACAACACATCACAACACAATCATATATGGTCCACATCCACCCAACAAGACATAGTATACATCATACATTAGGCAATAATCATGACATACATCAAGGGTCTATATACCACAAACAACACATCACATGTTTTCACATTGGACTTGAGGTTTAGGCCTTATGTTCTTAACCCTTTAGGCTATTTGAAGCCCATCACTTATGCCTCTAGGATATCACAATACATGCCCACAAATAGGACACCATATCATTCCTAACCTATAAGGCTATAAGGAACACGCTGCAACAACACTCTACCACCATCTAGCTAAAATGAGGGTTTTGTTGAGTGAGCCTATCATAGAGAGGGAATTTTGCTCAATGAACACTTCTTACTAAGTGAATTTCAATTTTCTAGCAAGGTAAGGACTAAAGCTCGCTAAGCCATCACCTTTGGATGGAAAAGATCCTTCAACATGTAAATCACGGAGGCATAAATTCACTCAATGATACATCCCTCACTTTTTGAATCAAAATGGCCCAAACACTAGGGTGAAAACTCGTTGAGTGAATCTTATTCGTTAAGTGACCAAAATGTTGGGATT